CATTATGAAAGAAGTAATATTTTGTCTGCTCATATCTTGCAGCGAAATCAAAAAAAAGAAAAAAAAAGGAAGAAAAACAGGCGATCTTGTTTACGTTTGTGCCTCGGAGCTCAGATGAAGGAGAAAGTATCGGTTATTTTCCAAAACACGAGAAACACAGACACACACGTGCATAAAGAAAAAAAAGAAAACATTCTCAGGCCATATTCTTCATTCCTGTTCCTCGCATTTTTTTTTTTTTTTTTTTATTGAAGGGCGAAAAAAAAATTGCAACTGGTCGAGAAATACACATAAAATGATAAAGATCGTCATCCTATCTGTTGCAGCTTCAGTGAAAAAAAAGAAAGAGAAAGAGAAACAAAGTAAATGAATATATTATAAACGAATGAGACGCGTACACAACGTGGGGAAAGTCTTAATGCAAAAAAAAAAAAAAAAAAAAAAAAAAAAATTGTACCGACCAATATGTCAAACTTCGGGCTAATTCGTATATACCTGGATCTCGGAAAAAAAAAAAACGAGAAACCGACCAACATGGAAGAGGAGGAAGAAGATGATGGTGATAAAAAAAAGAGAAGAAGAAATAGATAAAAATGAATACTTCGCAACGTAAGTAAAAGCGGAAAAAATGAGATACTTAGCAACATGAGGAGACACAGACACACACAAGCGCGCTATCAAAATTGTTTATGGTCGTTTCTCGCAACATAAGTAAAAAAAAAAAAAAAAAAAAAAAAAAAAAAAAAAAAAAAAAAAAAAAAAACAGATATTGTGCAGCTGATGTGAACAAAAAAACAACAACATAATTCTCACTAATAAATGTGAAAAAATCTCATCAGTTCATGGGGGGGGGGGGATATTGTGCAATTGATGTGAAAAAGAATCAGATCAATCTCACCAATAAATGTGAAAAAAAATACAAATATGACGTTTATGCCCTTATCTCCCAGCGATAAGGAAATAAGAAATAAGAAAAAGGAAAGACAATGAAAGACGTATACACCAACATGAAAGAAGTAAGAAAAAAACAGACAAAAAACAAACGAAAAAAATAACAAAAAGCAAACACAAAAAAAAAACTAACGAAAAAAAAACACAAAAACAAAAACATAACTATCTTCCTTATGCTCGTATCTCACAGCCTAAACGAAGGGAGAGAAATCGGATATTCTGGAGCCAGACGACACACGTGAAAAAAACGGTCATTTTGTTCAGGTATTGGATCGTGAAAAAGAAAAGAAATATTTATATATATAAACAACAACAACAATAATAATAATAATGATAAAGATCATAATAATGTGGAAACGATTTGTCAATGTTGTTTATGTTCGCACCTCGCAGCGCTAAAGTAGACAAAACGAAATACAATTTGCAAATTAATGAGGTACGTACACAAAAAACAAAAAAATATCTGACCATCTTGCCTTTCCACGTATTTCAGTAACAAACAACAAAAAATCTCCGGTCATGTTTATGTTTATGCCTCGCAACGTAAATTTTAAAATCTGAGACAAACACCAATTATTATGAAAGAAGTAATATTTTGTCTGCTCATATCTTGCAGCGAAATCGAAAAAATAACATAAACTGTAACTGGAGGAAAGCATAAAAAAAATGATAATAATAATAATAATAATAATGATAATAATAATAATAATGATAATAATAACGATAAAAATCGTAATAATAACTAATCCAGCTACCATTCTATATCCTCATAACTCACAACCTAAACGAAGACGAACGAACCAATTATATTTCGCAACCGGCGACACACACACATACACAGACCCCCCCCTCTCCCTCCATCCCTCTTCCCAACCCTACCCCCCACTCCACTCAAAAAAAAAAAAAAAAAGCAAGAAGACGAAAAAAGGTCATATTGTTTATGCTTGCGTCTCGCAGCGCAAATGGACATCGAATAACCCTAGGATACAGGAGGTCCTCCCCCCCGTTTATAGCGAATCACAGACCCTCGTTGGACGGGATATGACAGTGCTTTTCTTCGTTTTGATAGCTAGGTTGATGGAGTGACACATGACATAAATCATATGCCAGGAGATGAGACGAGAGCACCAGCACGCGGAGGTCGAGGGGTATGTAATGCTTTGAAAGGATGAAAAAGGGGTAGAAGGAATGTTAGGAGAGAGGGAAAGAGGGAATGTGATGGGAGAATGAGAGATGGAGAGGGAGGTAAAGGGGTGTAGTGGATATGAGGAATGGGAAGGGGAGAAAAGAAATGACAGTGAGAGAAAGAGATAAATAGATAGAGAGACATACAGACAGACACAGGCAGAAAGCAAAAGAGAGAGAAAGACAGAAAAGAGAGAAAGAAAGAGAAGAAGAGAGAAGGGTAGTTGGGGATGAGAAGAGAAAAAAAGAGAGAAGAGAAAAGAGATAGAGGGGGTAGGACAGGCAGACAGAGAGAGAGAGAGAGAGAGAGAGAGAGAGAGAGAGAGAGAGAGAGAGGGAGGGAGACAGAGACAGAGAGATAAGG